CGAAGGAGCCTTGCTTTGTGTGCAGGGAGGAGACATCTTTTTATTTATAAAGGAATAAGTAAATATCTTAGCTTCATTGTAATACCACACATGGCTTCCAGCTGATACCTGACAGCTAATGTTCACTATCACCTTCTGGCCCAGTTTTTGACATATATTTTGCAATACCATTTCCATCACCTCAAACCGAATCCCTCGATGGAAATTTCCTCTTCCTCCCCAACGCCATCTCCCAGAAAGCAGGCAGGTTTAATGAACCATTTGCCTGGCAAACAGCCTCAAAATCTAATCCTGGCTCAGCCACCTCCATCTGTAACCTCAAGCAATAGTGTGCAGCCTCTGTTTTCTCCACCTGCAACGAGGGCCAATGCAATGCACAAAGCTGCTGTGAGATCTGACGTTTCCACTGCGCTTAGAAAAGGGAATGTTAAAAAGATGTGAAGCAGGAGCTGTATCAGCTCTGGGACCAGCAAACCGAGGCTGCTAAATCCTGTGCTGAGCCCAGGCTCCCTTCCCCCAAGACAGTTGTCTTTTCTGGAACAAGTTTCAGCTGAAAACTAAGATCTGCTTGCAAACACGCAAACCCAACTCTGCAAACAGCAACTGTGCCAGGAAAGAGGCCTTTCACAGTCTCTTCCCCACTGTCAAAGTTTAGATGAGTTGAATAAAAGGATGCATGAAGTTTTGAATGACTAAATATACAACTATTTTCCTTAAAACATCTCCTAAGGATGCTTGAATGAAGGATGCACTTTAAAAACCTGTGTGTTTGCTTTCAGATCTTTTTCAAAAGCCATTTGGTGAGGATCCTCATCCTGCTGGGTGCTCAGGACTGCAAGAAACCTTTCTGTTGGTGACCAACACCATCTCAGCCGGAAGAGGTATCGCTCCAGGACTGAGTGTTAATTCATCTGCTGCTTTAGCTCATCAAGAAACACTCACACCTTGCTCTGTAATGGATCACACAGAGACCAAAGTCTATAGCTAACTGCTGTATCTGCACTCACTGTATTAAAACCTTCAGCTGAAGCAGGGAGGGGGAACTGAAACAAGTGTTTGTCCCTTTGAGGGAGAATGGTGAGATGGTGGTGAGTAAGAGGAAATCTGAGCTCTGCTCCTGCATCTCTGGGAAGCCATGTGGGCTGTCCTGCCTCCTCCTCCCACCTCGGACAATGGGTGTATGGAGGTGCCTATTCCCTCAAAGCCACTGGAGGTCTGTGAGAAAAAGCAAGCTGGGCACTTCTGCAGAGCAACACAGGTGGAAGAGGCATAGATCAACCATGTTCTAGTTCTCATTTCATGTTGTAAGAAAAACTGGAGAAAATTGTCCCAAAATGGGCAGAGGAAGCACTTGTCTCTTTCCACCAGACACAGCTGATGCACTTGCACAAGAGGGTTGGGTTGGACTTGACTGGGCCCAGCAGCACAACCTGGCTCAAGGGAGGTGCTGCACCAAACCTGAGCAGCTGAAGGAAGGGCCAGGATTAATTCTGGCCACAAAATGTCCTTCCTGAAACAAAAGCCTATGGGTGCAATCACAAACTACAGCTTGAGGTGGACCAATGGAGCTCCTAACCTCTCCTCCCCTCAATGCTCTTATTATATCCCTCATACCATCATTCATATGTGGTAAGAAAGATCCTGACCTTCTTCATTCAGTGGTACTGCTTGGTAGGGACACCCTGCTCATGTAAGGTGAAAAAACCATGTCAGGGTACTGCTTAGCTTTTAGCAGAAAGTCAACAGGACTTGGGTGCAATGAGAGACAAAACATTTGTTAAGCAAGCTGTTGAAACATGTTGAAACTGAAATATAGACTTAATTCATTGAGCCTGTATTTCCCTCCCCCCTAACCCTATTCTGCCAGCCACAAAGCAAAAGCTGGAAAAAGCTGTTTCCTACCCAGCAGGGACACCCATTATGCACAGACAAGAGGCACAAACACAGGTGGGCTCTGCTGGCCCCTGCCACACGTGTGCAATTTGCAGGGGAGATGTTTCAACCACATCTGCCGAAACTACCACAGACAGAAACATCTTGCTGCATAGGCAGCACTCTGCAGAAAATGCTGAGCTAGCAAACCAGGAGCATGGCATCTCCAGCAGCACAGCCTGCTACCAGCCCCAGTTCCCTCCATGGCCAAGAACCTTGTACCAGCAGCCAGGCAAAAATGATAAACATTTTAATACCATGATCCACAGGCAGTCGTTTAAAAAAGAAAGCCTGAACTCCTGTTTGAAGTCAAAGTCTAAGGAAGAATTGGGCTTTGCAGGAGCAGATGGGTTTCTGGCATCTCATTGCATCCACCTGGTGCTTTGGGGGTGACACAATGTGGCTTCTTCCAACACTTTCCTCAAACAAAAATTGCACACAAACACCTTTACACAGAACACCACCGAGCCCAAGTAACTCCCACCACATCACAAAGGCAGAGGGAGGCTACCTACCACCACTCCTTTTTGAGG